CCTCTGGGAGGAGCTGCTGCCCAGGCCCTGAACTCTGGGGACCTGGCAGGGGGTCTGCATCAAGCGGTCCAGGCTCCAGCTGCAGCAGAGGCTTCTGCCCCAGGAGCCGGCCCCTTCACACGAGAACCCGGGCAGCTTCAGGAGCCCAGGCGCTGCCACCCTTACGTGGCAAACTTGAGGGTGTCCCCAAGGTCCACTGACTCTGTCTGGGGCTCTTCTTTACTTCTCCCCCAGAATGGCCCAACAAGGCCAGGGCTCCCTCTCTATCACACCTACGCGCACACACACACACACCAGCAGTTAGCCCTGTCACTGCTCCCGGACAGAGTGACCAGGCTGAAACTAGAAAGCCCATCCTGCCACTGCTGGCCTAGTCTCCATCTGCCATAGAGACCATCTGCCCCTGGTGGGGGGCAGGGGCGGTCTATAATGCTACCAGCCAGCAACAGGAGGGGGTGCTGTCCCCTAGGCTCCGTGTGCCAGATGGACCTTCTATATTCCACCTACCACTCCACCTCAAGAGCCCTCTGCCTAGGAGGGACACCTGTCCCAGACCTCCTGGGATCAAATTAGCTAGGGTGGGGAGATGGTCCCCTCCTTCCATGGTCCCTCGCCATCCTGAGCTCGCTGTCCCATGCCCTGGGAATCCATCTCCGGGCACTGGAGACCACAGGCTCCAGAGCTGGAGGGCCCTGCAAATTGTTCTCCCCTGCCTGTAAGCAGGAAGGCAGGTGCTGCCACCTCCAAAGGGGCTGTCCCCCGCACTCCCCTCAGCCTGGCTCCAACCCCTCCCCTTAACCCCTCTGTCACTGGTCTCAGTGTCTCTGAGCAGATGAGGACAGAGGATGGGGAAATTTTTAGTGCTCTCGGGACAAGTTGTTTCTGCTACAGAAGCTGGTTTTTTTGGTTTGGAAAGGTGTTTTTTTTTTTTTTTTTCCACCCAGTAATGTGAAAACATGAAACTCGAAACCAACCCCCCACATTTGTCACCTCTGAGAGAAGCCTTTGGGGTAACTGGGAGAAAGCTGTAAATGAGTCAAGCTGATTCAGAGCGGGGGGGTGGGGGGGCTGCCCAGCTGCCTGGGGCACCAGGGTTTTATTAACACGATCTGAGCATGGCCGTCAGGTGACAGATGCAGGGAGGGGAAAGGGCTTCATTTCCATCCTCTGCTTACCCCCAAACAGCAGTCCCCTTGATACATTCCTTTTGCCTAGAAAAAGCTGGGTCCTTAGCTCCGTTCTGGACAAGCCTCTTCTACCACCACGCAGGAGCACAGGACTGGACTGTGTCACCACACCAGCCCTAAGCAGTTTGTCCCCTTTACATCAAGCGAAGCAGACAAGATGAACAGGGAGAGCTAGGGGTATGTTTCACCTAGGAGAAGTAGATTGGATGAGACTTCCTAGATGTGATGATGATGGATCCAAGAATAGGGAGCCGAGAGATTCCTTACAGGGAGTCTGAGAAGCGGTGGAGACTTTCTTCCCTCTGGCCAGAGCAGTTTAGGAAAGAACAGGCCAAAGCATGAACTGGGCAGCCCCTCTAGACTCCAACCTCTCAGCAATGGGCTTGGGAAGGGAAGCTATGCCTCCCTTTGTTTCACAGCTTCCCTCTGATCCTTCCCAGCACTTTCTGCTGAGACAGACCTGTAGAGACCTGGTTGGGTACAGAGAGCGCACCCTCTGACCCCGGGAGGCAGCCGCATATGTCCAAGAGGCCTGCCAGCTCCACCTCAACACAGAACTTCAGGTCCGCCCCCAATTCCTCCACTCACCTGGGGCTCTGAGCCAAGACTCCCACCCACGGTTCAGCCCGCCCTTCCCCAACACCCTGCACATAAGGCTCCAGGAACTGGCATGCTGGGAGAACTGGAGGGGGGAGCCCAGCACCACGCACCCACTTGCCTCACTGTTTCAAGTCCCAACAGGCCCTGGCCTCACCGGCCTCCACAGGTAGGCAGCGTGAGTCTGCATCTGTTGGCTGCCTTCCCTGCCAGAGGACGTGCAGCTCTAATTGCTCAGTGCCCCACAGTCAGCAGCATGGAGAGGACAGTGAACGATAGACAAATGCTCAGAGCGGCACAGAGGGAGACCCCTCCCAGGTCTGGGCAGAACAGCGCTATGGGAAACTTCCTGCCAGCCTTCCTCCTGGGGCCACACTCATCTAAAACTCAGGTGGGAGAAAATCCCATTTCTTCATGGGAACTCTCCCCCATGGCATTAAATTCAGTAAGCAAACACATGCAAGCACCTCCTAAGTACAAGGACGCTTCTGAAAGAAGCCAAGTAAGTGTGCTGGGTGGGTGGATACCAAGTCCCCGAGAACGATCCCAGCAAAGGGGCAGCAGCTCCACCTGCTGGGCCCTTTTCCACCCTGGCACCAGGAATCAGAAATCAGAAAAAGATTGGCCGGGAGCAGTGGCTCATGGCTGTAATCCCAGCACTTTAGGAGGCCGAGAAGGGGTGGATCACCTGAGGTCAGGAGTTTGAGACCAGCCTGGCCAACATGGCAAAACCCCATCTCTGCACCTGTAATCCCAGCTACTAGAGAGGCCGAGGCAAGAGAATCACTTGAATCCAGGAGGCAGAGGTTGCAGTGAACCAAGATTGCGCTACTGCTCTCTAGCCTGGGCAACAGAGCGAGACTCCGTCTCAAAGAAAAAGATGAATTTAAGAATAAAGCTAAAAGTTGACACTCTCCTGCTTTGGCAGGAAGGGCCCTAAAATGTGGCAACAGACTAAGACTGAGCTGGGCTCACTGAATTCTCTGCTGGACAGACCAGAAGGGTCTACGTCACCATGGAGCTGGTTTGGAGACTTGCTCACAAGACCTGAGCCAAACGAGTCCTCAGAAATGCCGTCCAGCTCCATAGTCTGCCCACAGCCCCCTTGGTACAACTAGAGCAGTATGCCATCAACAGCCCAAATCACCCTAGGCCAAGAAGGGTGGATTCCTAAGCAAATACTCTTCCCTCCCCAACAAACCAGCTGTCTGGGATCCCATGGGCACCAAAGCAGCAAAGCCCTGGCCATTCTCAGAACCCATGGCGCTGGAGCTGTCCTTGCTTAGTCACAAGGGGCAGCCAATCTCTTTGCTTAAAAACGTTAGGTCTTGGAGACAGCAGAATGTAACAGCAATTCAGAACACCCAGCTCCCCTTATAGTTCTCCAATTACCTTCAGCCTGGAACTCACAGCACACCAAGAGGATGGACTTTCCTGCTCCGTTTGGCCGGGGCGTGTCCCTCTTCAAGTATCACTGTTTGTGCCCACGTACCAGAGGATGTGTAGGTATGCCTGTATCTGTTTATGAGGCCTGAGTTAATCGTGCCTTGTGCATCTGTGAACATGAGATCTTATGGGGCAAGCCTACCTTCATATGGGTGTATGGCTCATGAGAAGGCATTTAGGTCTATCCTCCACTTTCTCACCCAGCAGGGGCAAGTGACAGAGCAGCAGCATCCAGCTGTTTGACCCCAGGATCAGACTGCTGCTTAGTCTGCTCATTCCTCTGTCCATTACCACTGTGATGAGTCCCTTCCCTGGTTTGATCCTCAGATCTCCTAAAACTGTCAGCACTGACTGAGCTCAGGACCTCCCCAGAAGGGAGTGCACGCACACACAGTAGGAAGCATTTCCTTCCTCAAGGCAAAAGCTATTGGTTTCTGTTTCCTCGCCCTTCTTCCTGTTTTCCAGGGCCCCTGATTTAAATCCCACTGGGTACACCCTGACGAAACAGGCTTCCAGTCTAGGCTTGTACAGGAACTTCGCAGTCATCGGCACTTATTAAGTATTACCAATTTTTTTTTTAAGCCTTAAAATCCATACATGGCTATTGTCCCTCCATGGATAAGGGCTGAGCAAGCCCCCCTGAAAACCCCGCTCCTTGTTCTCCCACGTTTGCTCTAAGCATGTTCAATCCTGTCCTTACTGGCCTTGGCCTATAGTCCTGATAGGGGCAAACGAAGGAGAGAACCAGGGAAAAAAGGGAAGCTGGCCAACGCACTCAGGGGTCCATATTCCCAGAGTGAAGGTCTGTACCAAACCATTATAGCCTTGGGATTGTGAGTTGGCATGGAGTGCAGAGGGCAGAGACAGAGCCAGGTCTATTCCGATTTGAGCTTCATCAATAAAGAAGAGGTGCTCCTGTGGGTTCCTTGTTCCAAGAGTTTCTATCTGCAGCTGTTAAGTAAGAGAAAAAAATTCCTCCTCGTATAATTTATGAAGCCACCTGAACAGCCAATAAAATAATGAGTGAGGGTAAAATCAGTCTATCCACTGGATAAAACACTATGCAATCATTAAAAATGATATTTATTTAAATGTTTACTCTAATGTATATTACTGTAAAAACATTTTGTGATGTAACAAAGCAGGAAAGAGCCAAGAATTTAATTTAAAAGTAGGACATCAAATTGTTAACTATAAAACACAAAAACATGGACCAAAAGTGATGCACAGCTTTACAAAATGGAGGAAATTAACTAGACTCTACTCACAGTAATTGCTCACCTCCACAGCTCTAGCTCCTAGCACAGTTAAGTATGCAATAAATATTTGTTATTATTGAATAAGCACTGGGATTAGGAACGAATTAATCTATTTTCCAAATCTGCTGTAATGAGATCCTGTAAGTTTTATAATTAAAAAAAATTATAGGCCAGGCATAGTGGCTCATGCCTGTAATCCCAGACCTTTGGGAGGCCAAGGTGGGAGGATCACTTGAGCCCAGGGGTTCAAAACCAGCCTGGCCAACATGGCAAAACCTGGTCTCTACAGAAAATTTAAACATTACTCACGCATGGTGGCACATGTCTATATCCAGCTACTTGAGAGGCTGAAGCAGAAAGATCACTCGAGCCCAGGAATTCAAAGTTGCAGTGAGTCATGATCACATCACTGCACTTCCAGCTTGACAACAAAGACCCTATCTCAAATTGTTTAAAAAAAAAAAAAAAAAGTTATGTATATAAAAATAAGACTAATTTCACAATCCAAAAATAATTACAGAAGGGACAGAGATTTAATGTTGTCCATAGGAAGACGTTAATGTCAGACTGACAATTTAGTTACGGTTACAAACTGGAAAACCATGCCATTTGGACTAATGGAATTTGAAGTTACTAGAAAAAAGACAATAGATTTTTTGATGCAGAATGACAAGGCTTATCTATAACATGTCAACGTTTTCGACGACTCTGAAATTTATAAATAGCTGGGGAGTTCACTGTTTCTTTCTTCACCTTTACTTTCTGAGTTTTATCCTACAAAAGAGTAAAAAGGTGATCAGTAAAGAGAAGGAAATGGTCAGTCATTTTGTAAAATAGAAAGGTTAATAAACTACCTACTAGAAAGCCCCATTTCAACCCTTCTCAAAGTTGAGAAGAGACATAGCCCTACTGCCCAAGGCATCCACTGCATACAATGAATTAACTTCTCCCCTAGGCCTCTAAAAAGTACTGGCTGTGTATATTCTGTGGGAAAAGTGAGAAAAAAGGTGTTCAAGTAGTTGTTTCATTTAAAATTATCATTTTAATTCTCTCACGGAACCCCAGTTGAGAAAGGCTGACCTAAATGATCCGCAAAGCTAAAGAATTTGACATTTAGAGAAATGATAAGAATATGAAGGAGGCATCTTATATTCCTCAGCTCTGCTATTTAACTACACAATGTTGTCTATTTTTAAACACCAATGAGTGGCATGCACTGTTTTGTTAACCTGTTTAAATGTTACGGGAGCTGCTCATAAGCCATAAAGTTCATATGCTACCCGATCCTACCCTTTGCTGTTCCAAAGCACTGACTAATAACCCCCTTATTACCTTCTTAATCAAGGAACATTTCAACACTGTCAGAGTAACAGACACTGGCTCAAACCACTGCCCCTGAGGAGCAGACATTTTCACTGGGGTTGATTTACACATAGCTGAAATCCAGTCTGAGTTAAGACCTTTACAAGAAAGAAAAGGAAAAAAAAAAAGCCTAAGGCTCTCTTTCCTTACCAGAAGATCTTTGCGTGTTTGAATTTTCTGAGCAATAATGAACAATTTCTTCTCTCGTTCAATCCGCTGTGTCAGGCAGTTATACTGCTTTTGCCTTTCTTTAGCTATTCGCTGCAGAAGAAACAGACATATTCTCAGTGACACAATGAACAGGACAAAAATGAGCAAGAAGTTGTTTCTTAATCCATTTAAGCCAACTGCATAGTGTCATCAAATCCCTCCTTTCACCAGAATCAACATAACGTGATAACAATGAAGTTGCCCATTTTAGAAACATCACATTCTGAAGCTAAAAGGAACCCTGGGCCAGACGGTGGCTCACGACCGTAATCCCAGGAGTTTGGGAGGCTGAGGCAGGAGGATTGCTTGAGCCCAGGAGTTGAGACCAGTGTGGGCAACATAACGAGACTCTGTCTCCAAAAAAAATTTTTTTTTTATTAAAAAGGAACCCTAAAAAAAATAAAAATAAAAAAAAATAAGGAACCCTAGGCCAGGCACCGTGGCTCACGCCTGTAATCCGAGCACTTTGGGAGGCCAAGGTGGGCAGATCACCTGAGGTCGGGAGTTCGAGACCAGCGTGATCAACATGGTGAAACCCTGTTTCTACTAAAAATACAAAATTAGCCAGGCATGGTGGTGCATGCCTGTAATCCCAGTTACTTGGGAGGCTGAGGCAGGAGAATTGCTTGAACCTGGGAGGCGGAGGTTGCAGCAAGCGAAGACTGTGACATTGCACTCCAGCCTGGGCAACAAGAGTGAAACTCCATCTCAAAAAAGAAAAAAAAAGAAAGAAAAGAAACCCTATAGACTACCTTATCGAAACCTATCATTTACAAATGCAGAAAAATGAGGCCCAGAGAAGAAGTAAGCGGCCGAACGACACATGGCTCACCTGGAGCAGAGTCAGGACTGTCCCCGTCTCACAAACCCCAGGAGTCTTTCCACTACTACGCTAACCTGCTTCAACCTTTGTATGAGTGCTGCAATCACCTGAGATGACAGCAGGAACGAGTGTTGGAAACCCTACACAAAGTGAATGGAGAAAAGAAGGGTCCCCAGGCAGTGTGCTGGTACCTGAGAATCTTACCACACAGAGAGCAGAATTTTTTCAGCAGAAGCTGACCTGAGAATTCTCACTGCTAATGACTCCTCAAAGACCAATGGGGTCCTTAAGTTTTGGGGAATCATCAACCTCAGAGAAACTGATGAAAGCTTTGGGACCTTTCTTTCTTTTTTTTTTTTTTTTTGAGACAGAGTCTTGCTCTGTCACTCAGGCTGAAGTGCAGTGGCAGGATATTGGCTCACTGCAACCTCCGCCTCCTGGGTTCAAGCAATTCTCCTGCCTCAGCCTCCCACGTAACTGGAATTGCAGGTGCCCACCACCATGCCTGGATAATTTTTGTATTTTTAGTAGAGACATGGTTTTTTCCACCATGTTGGCCAGGCAACTCTTGACCTCAAGCGGTCCACCCACCTTGGCCTCCCAAAGTGCTGGGACTACAGGCATGAGCTACCTCGCCCAGCCTGGGATCTTTCTTGAGATAAATGTACATGTTACATGTTTGTAAAAGGCTGTGCAAGCACATGTACCTATCTGCACAAAATACCAGCAAGAAAGAGGGGCTTTCACAGACCCCCTAAAGCTCATTCCTGGGTTGTCTATCCATTCGAAGTTACAGACAAAATATCCTTGCAATCCACCCACCAGCAGTCTCTTAATAAAAATAATTTTGCAGTAAACGAAATAGAAAGAAACATCACTACTAGACAAAATGGCAAAATCTAAACCTTCCTAACTTTTCAAAAGCTTTGCTGGTGAACTATTCTACATAGGAGTTTGGAATACTAATCTCTTTAGGGACTACCACAATTCTTGAGAAGTGTCAGTGACATGGCTAACTGAAAGTACACCTAATTGACAAACAACAGGGCTATCACAAGAGCACTCAAGAGCAGGCTCTTCAGCTGGAAGTGTTATCGACATAGAGGGAAATATTGCTGGGCCTCAGACTTCAGCAATCCACGGATTCTAGCACAGTCTCACAGCAGTGGCTTCAGACAGCTTTTGTTTTCGCTTTATTGCACAGACTGTCAGATTTATGGGATTACCCAATATAGTCAAACTAATTAGGGGTATTTATATTACTAAAGCAAGTTTAGCTGCCTCTGAGCTAGAGAAAACTGCTGTGAAATTAAACATTGGAAGCAAAACTGATGCGGTGTAAATGATTCAAATCAAAACAGAACAGCTGTCTGCTTGAAACACATTGACAGCATTTTTTTTTAATGAATCAGTCAGAAGAGTTCAACTCCAGAAGGCTTTGAGGAAAAGCATGTCTTCTGCACAACCCAGTTACAGTGATGGAAAGCACCATAAGGAAAAGTCAATACAAAATGTTTGTTACAATACATAATATGAAAAACCTTTTGGGCAGGCATGGTGGCTCACGCCTGTAATCCCAGCACATCAGAAGGCCAAGGCGCCAGGAAACACTTGAGCTCAGGAGTTTGAGACAAGCCTGGGCAACATAGCAAGACCTCCTTTCTACAAAAAAAAAAAATTAAAATTTAGCTAGGCATTGTGGCACACACCTGTGGTCCCAGCTACCCAGGAGGCTGAAGCAGGAGAATCGCTTAAGCCCAAGAGGTGGAGGATGCATTGAGCCATAATCACACCATTGCACTCCAGCCTGGGTGACAGAATGAGACCCTGTCTCAAAAAACAATTTTTTTTAAATAGAAAGGCCTTTTGATGTGTGCATTCACTGCTAAAGGTTCAATATTAAAGTATTCCAAATCCTTTAATCTTCAGCAATCCCTCCTTTCTCTGCATTTTAAAAACACTGGTATCTGTTACAAGCATTAAAAGCACAAAGTGCAGGGTCAGAACTGGGATTCAAACCCAGGTCTAAAAGCCAGAACCTAAGCTCCTGACCACTATACCAACACATTTTCCGATCACAGAAACAGGGAGCCACTTCCATCCCATCATCAAATCCTCCTTCAAATCCACTTTTCTAAAAGAACTTCATGGGTTTTCCATAAATAATTATTTTAGGCCGGGCACGGTAGCTCGCGCCTGTAATACTGACACTTCAGGAGGCCGAGGCAGGTGGATCAATTGAAGTAAGGCATTCAAGACCAGCCTGGCCAACACGGCGAAACTCCATCTCTATGAAAAACACAAAAATTAGCTGGGTGTGGAGGCGCACTCTTGTAGTCCTAGTTAATGGGGAAACTGAGGCATGAGAATTGCTTGAACCCAGGAGGCAGAGGTTGCAGTGAGCCAAGATCACGCCACTGCACTCCACAACAAAGTGAGACTCTGTCTAAAAAATAATAATAAAACTTTAAAAATTATTTTAAATGCAGTGGCAAAAAAAAAAAAAAAAAAAAAAGAACCTAGATTCCCCTAAACTCACATGTGAAGAACAGAGAAAATTACCTTAAGTCCAGTCTGATGGGTAACTCCTTTCACTTTTTCCTTCTGCAAGGTCTCTATCCTGGGCCTATTAAAGACTCTGTCGACTAGTTCCGGGGCTGTTTGCAGGTGAGTTGCAACATCAAACTGTTCAACTAAAATTCAAGACAATCTTTAAGGCACTGTCTGTTTCTAACACCAAACGACACAGACTGGCACGGCAGACTGTCCCAGAAACCCTTAAACATTTCATACCTTCCTTTTTGGTGTCAAAAAAGAACACATGCTTGCTCTGTTGCTTCCCCTGGAAATCCAGCAGATGGAGCTCTGATTTTAGTCTTTCAATTTTCTAGAACACAGAATATGGTCTCACTTTATATTAGATTCTTCTGGCATATGAAAAAAAAAAAAAAAACTGCAAAAGTTTAAACCATTTCACATCATTATTGCCAGCCAGCAAAGAACTTGCTTCATCTTATTTTTCTTTTTTATTTATTTATTTATTTATTTTTCTTTTTTCCTTCCACCACTTGTCAGCAAGAAGCTTCAACCTTTTAAAAAAGGATTCCATGTATACATGAAGTACCGGGCTAGGCACTTCCCAAAACGCACTTAACCCTTGCAACAATCCTCTGAGACAGAAATGAAGGAAGAGCCTCAGGGAGTTGAATTTGCTCACTGTCATGGGGCTAAGTCATTGGCAGCGCCAGAATTCAAACCTAGGTCTGTCTCATTCACAAACCTGAACTCTTTCCAGTCTACCATGCTAACTATACTTCTAAATCATTATCACAATCAGGTAAGATTGTAAATGCCAGAATAAATTAACGAATAACTCGAGACTGACGATTTTAAGTTTCTTTCTTAACCAATAAACCAAACAGAACAGAGAGTCAATTGTTACCTTAGCTTCTGCAACCCTTTTCATTTCTATATATTTGACATCCTGAGTTCTCATCAGCTTTAGTTGTTCTGGGGTTACTTCTTCCTTAGTCTGCTTAGTAACATGTACTCCATCCTAAAATCCAAATTTAAAAGATATATTCCCTATTAAAATCATTAATAAGTTGTGGCACAGTACATGGTTAGAACAAAGAAAACCATAGGGCAGGTACAGTGGCTCACACCTGTAATCCTAGCACTTTGGGAGGCCAAGATGGGCAGATCACTTGAGGTCAGGGGTTCAACACCAGCCTGACCAACATGGTGAAACCCATCTCTACTAAAAATACAAAACATTAGCCAGGCATGGTGGTGTGTGTCTGTAGTTCCAGCTACTTGGGAGGCTGAGGCACAAGAATCATTTGAACCCAGGAGTCAGAGGTTGCAGGGAGCCAAGGTCATGCCACTGGACAACAGAAAGAGAATACATCAAAAAAAAAAAAGACAAGAAAAACCCCCAAAGCAAAAGGACAACCAAATGCTGCATGCTAACAGCACTCCTAGACACAGGCCCCTGAGGCACAAGTTCAATGTAGCACCTCCAGCCAGCCATCCTAGAACAGCTCCAGGGTTAAGACAACTCAGATTCAAAGGCAGAAATGCATGCTCCTCTGAAGTGGCAGGTTTGCCTTGGACACTGACCAAGAGCACCTGGAGTAACCAGAGAAGGGTTAAATTAAGGCCAAGGATCCTTCCTCTCCATCTCCTCCCTATCCTTATTTTCCAATGTGCGGAGCTCAAAACACCAACCAAAACACCAACCAAGCCATTGGGCACTCACCTGGAGTTTAACCCGAGTCATTTTGTAGTAGAATTCATCTGGATTTTTTTCAAGAGCCTTCTTCCGGAGAGCTCTGAGGTATTCTTGTTTTTTACGGTAGTCACTAAAAGACAGGTTAAATGCATAGCAAAAAACAAAAGAGGTAACTTTAAAAAACCAAAAACCCTAAGGCCGGGCGCGGTGGCTCAAGCCTGTAATCCCAGCACTTTGGGAGGCCGAGGCGGGTGGATCACGAGGTCAAGAGATCGAGACCATCCTGGTCAACATGGTGAAACCCCGTCTCTACTAAAAAAAAATACAAAAAATTAGCTGGGCATGGTGGCGTGTGCCTGTAATCCCAGCGACCCAGGAGGCTGGGGCAGGAGAATTGCCTGAACCCGGGAGGCGGAGGTTGCGGTGAGCCGAGATCGCGCCATTGCACTCCAGCCTGGGTAACAAGAGCGAAACTCCGTCTCAAAAAAAAAAAAAAAAAAAAAAAAAAAAACAAAAAAAAAAAAAAAAAAAAAAAAAAACCAAAAACCCACAATAAGCAAACTTTATAAGCATCTAAAAGGTCACACAAAGTGAAACTCGAAAAAGCCAAAGCAGTGACTGGATCTGACGGACACTCCACTGTCACTGAGCTGAGCTCATGTCTTCACAGGGTCCACAATCTAATCAACAGTTCCTATTCCAGTGGAACCTGAAATTAACTGTCCCCAGCCCACATATGTTTCCGTGCCATTGACATCATTACAGGGAGACACCAAACAAAATACAAATTAAAACTCCTTAGAGAGGGTATGGTATAAGCTTGGGCACCAAATGACCACATATAATTCAGAAACTACACAGTACAGTATAGCATAATGACTAGAATCGTGGACGCTGGAGCCAGACAGCATGGGTTCAAATCACACTTCCGGCTAAGCAATTTTGGGTAAGTTATTTAACCACTCTGCATCCCAATTTCATTTGTAAAATGAACACGGTAATAGTAACCTATCCCAGAAGGTTTGTTGGGAAGGATAAATCAGGCGTAAAAATGGTAAATATCCTAGAACACTGCCTGGCCCAATAAACAACACTTAATTATCATTAGCCTTAAAATCTCTGGGACCTACAGAAACCCACTTAATCCATCGCCACCATCTATACCAGGGGCATAAGAAGGACCTCAGCTGATATGTATGGCTAACAAATAATTATGAAGTATTCTGCAAATCAAGTGCTAATAGAGAAGAAGAATGGGGATAATTGTTTTATAAAATGTTTTCAGAGTTCATTATCACCCACGCTTGGTCTCATGAATCTGTCTTTCACATCTCTTCATTCCACAACACACCACACACATGGTGATGTAAGAGACTCAACAAATGGAATTTTAGATTATATCTTGCACTTCAAGAAAACAAGGAGAAAAAAAATTCAGCTTTGGGCTCAAACGTCAAGGCAGAGCCAAATCAAAGCCACTATGAGAAAAATGATCTGGAACAGCATAATAAAAATAACTCACAATGCCACTACAGTTAAATAAATAATGATGTGCCTAAACAAAGAGCGAAATGTAGGGTCACAGAAAAATTATCTGACAGGCTGCCAGAGCTTAGGCCATTTTATCAATGGCAGGAAATTATCCCTTGTCGGACACTCAGGCAATTCAGCTGCAGTGCAAGGAGGTTGTAAGCTTTCTTGGCAGCGAATCTACCAGAAAGACTGAACTCACTCTGCACGAAGTTTGTAATCTTTCTTTTTCTCCAGTAGGCCCAGATGTTTTCGAAAGCCAGGCTAGAAGACAAAAGAAAAAACAACAGTGCTTAGTTTCTTCAGTGAACACATATCCAAATCAACATGAAACCTCACAGGCACTGGAGTCTGGAGCGCTTAGTAAATCCAGTCCTTGGAGCTAACCCATGACCCTGTTCCCTCCCCTCCCAACAACTGGGCTCTGCCCAAGGATGAGCGGGACCATGCCAGCACCAAACAGGTCACAAGCACTGCTGTAGTAGGTTTCTTGGCCTATTAAGGACAGAGAGAGGCAACAATGACTCGGCACTAAGCAAGCAGTTGCCAGTTGTACTAAAATTACTACCAACTTAATCCATGGGTTTAGAAAATACTACAAAGGGAAAACATAGTCACAGGGAGGCAACTGTGGTAAGGGAGCTAAATTTAGAGTTTGGAGATATGGGTTCAAATCTAAGCTTTACCTCTGAACAATCTGTGACCTTGGGCATGTCACTTAACTTCTCTGAACCGCTATTTCCTGACTATAACATGAGAACAGTACCTGCTTCTCCAGGTTATCCTGAGGATTCAAGGAGCTTGTGTAAATGGTAATGACTGCACATGGTTTCACACATAGCAGCTGTCCAGCATGAGTTTACTTTTTTTTTTTTTTTTTTTTTTTTGAGACGGAGTTTCGCTCTTGTTGCCTAGGCTGGAGTGCAATGGCACAATCTTGGCTCATCGCAATCGCCACTCACCACAACCTCCACCTCCTGGGTTCAAGCGATTCTCCTGCCTCAGCCTCCCAAGTAGATGGGATGACAGGCATGCACCACCACAACCAGCTAATTTTGTATTTTTAGTAGAGACGGGGTTTCTCCGTGTTGGTCAGGCTGGTCTCGAACTCCAGACCTCACATGATCCGCTCACCTCGGCCTCCCAAAGTGCTGAGATTACAGGCATGAGCCACCATGCCGGGCCCCTACTATTATTATTATACTTCTGGTACTAGGTATGAGAAAAAAGTATGACAAAAAGTACTTTCTCTGACACAGACTTGGAGAGCATGGAAGGTATAAGGATTAAATCTTGATACGATATTTCTACATATCATCATTTGTTGAGCACTTAGCATATGTCAGTGTCTATGCTGGCTTCTCTTGCCTACATCATTATAATAGTTCATATTTATGAAGCACTTACTCTGTCAAAAAGCAATGTGCTATGCTCATTACACAATTTCATTTAATCCTCACAACAACCATGAAAAGAAGGTGAAACAGGCACTACTGTTATCACAGTTTTCCATAAACGGAATGAGGTTTACAGAATGATAAGCCCAAGAACACTGAACTAGTAAGTAGCAGAGCTAAAACTAGACCCCTTTTTACCTAGGACCATCACAGTAGACAGAGTTCTCTTCTGTTGCGAATAATCTTATCATTTTGGGAAACGCATACACTTCTCTAGTGTTTAAACTTGTATAATAGGTGGGGTGCAGTGGCTCATGCCTATAATCCCAGCACTTTGGCAGGCCAAGGTGGGTGGATCACAATGTCAGCAGTTCAAGACAAGCCTAGCCAACATGGTGAAACCCCATCTCTACCAAAATTAGCCAGGCATGAAATTAGCGGGTGCCTGTAATTCCAGCTACTTGGGAGGCTGAAGCAGGAGAATCGCTTGAACCTGGGAGGCAGAGGTTGCAGTGAGCCGAGATCACACCATTACATTCCAGCCCAAGCAACAGAATGAGACTCCATCTCAACAAAACAAACAAAAAGGAGGTTGACAAAGTAGAGAAAGAAAGCTAAAGGGTTAAAAGAGCAACAACATGAGAAGAGGCAGAACTCTTGAGATCTTTCATGTCCACTTGAATGTACATCTGCATTACAGAAGAAAACCTGGTATTATATCTGAAACAGTTTACGTAATTAACGTATACCCCCTCCATACAAAATATCTTCAGTAGCCCCCCTGCTGCCCTATGGAAGGATCTACGGGAGAAAGCCCAAAATACCCAAATATGGAACGTGTGTGTCGATGGTTTACCCACCTTTCCAGCATGGCCTTCTCCTCACCTCTTCCACATAGGCCTTCTGTTCTTATTCAGCCACGGCCATGCCATGTCCACGGCCAGCTTTGAAAGCCCTCTGTCTTCTCTGCTAATACAAATCCACTACTGACAACTATGACTTTGAATATATTATTCAATCTCTTTAAGCACCAGATTCCTTATTTGTAAAATGAGGAATTAACATCCACCTCATAGGGATGTTGTAGGATACATGAGACAATTGGAAAACATGCAGGGCTCTGCCTAGCATATAGTAAGTGCTCAAAAGGTAATAGTTTTGGCCGGGTGTGGTGGCTCACACCTGTAATCCCAGCACTTTGGGAGGCCGAGGTGGGTGGATTACCTGAGGTCAAGAGTTTGAGACCAGCTTGGCCAACATCACAAAACCCCATCTCTACTAAAAATACAAAAATTAGTTGGGCATGGTGGTGCAAACCTGTAGTCCCAGCCACCCAAGAGGCTGAGGCAGGAGAATCACTTGAACCCAGGAGGTGGAGGTTGCAGTGAGGCAACATCACACCATTGTACTCCAGCCTGCACAACAGAGCGAGCCTCAGTCTCAAAAAAAGGAAANTTTAAATCATCATTAAAATGTTTTTAAACTGTTTCTTTCCTTCTGTTTTAAAAACTTAAATGGAATGATTTATAAAACAAATATTTGCTAATTGTTTTAAAAGCCCAGGTTTTTATTATATATTTAAAAACATGATATATGTTCTTTGTAAAACTATCAGATACAGATTTGATGACAAAGCCACCTTTGCTTCCACTTCCAAATACCCAAGGAGCCCAGCATTGCCCCACTGCCCACCTCTAGAGGGCTCAGCTCACAGGGAATACTGTTAAACTGGGCGTTGTGGCCCACGCTTGTAATCCCAGCATTTTGGTGTCCACTTCGGGAGGATCGCTTGAGGCCAGGAGTTTGAGACCAGCCTGGGCAACATAGTGAGACCCCATCTCTATAAAAAGGGTAGCAGCAGAGAACCAGTACCATTTCAGTGCAAGTGTTTTATGTGGGAGGCAAGCTGACCACTGTCCTGGTTTGCCTGGAGGTGGGGGTTCCCAGGATGAGGTTTTTGCCCTCTATTGTGAGATAATTCCAGGGAGCACTGATGAAGAAGTGGGGAAGTGAGATAGGCAGGGCTGGGAAGCCGGTGATGAATAGATTAGCCCTGTGCACAGCTGGACTCAGTCCTGTTTTGGACCTGTTGGGTGCGCTCTAGAACACCCCACCAAGGTGCTTTTTCTCCCGTGCCTGGTTGCAGGCTCCCCCTGACTGCAGGCCTGCCCACCTCCTGCAGCCCTGGAGAGGCCTGGGCAGAGAGCCCCAGGAACAGCAATGCCAAGAGGGTAGCGGCAGAGCGCCAGTGGCATCTGTTATGAGAATATTGCTGTACACATATTTTAAAAAAATAAAAATAGGATCACTCCATTCTTGATTTACTGGCACCTTGATTTATGTAAGGTGTCTAAAGGAAAGACATTCTAGACCACAAATCTAATACTGCAGTCATTTGAAGGGTCCAGGCTTGGAATTGCCCTTGGGTTAATCATATCAGGGGCTGATCATGTAAATGACCAGCATTGGAATCAGATGAAATGCTACCACTACCACTACTTTAAAAAAAAAAAAAAAAAAAAAAAAAAAAACCTCCGATAAATGCTATTAAGCAGGAAGACTGAACTATAGCTAAGAGGCCTTAGTTCTATCCCATCAGTCAGCTGCACAACTCTGGACACATCCTTTCCCCTCTCCCTTATCTGTAAAATGAAGTTGGAGCACATATATATGTATGCCTAAGAGTCTTTCTGAATCAGATATTAAGCATGCGATTCCTGACAGTGTATCAATATAAACTTATTTCTACTCAATCTCCCCACACAGACACACCCACCATAGAAATCCTAGAACTGTTTACTCTGCCTGAATCTGGTGTTTGTAACTGGACAAGTCACCACTCTGGACCTCAGTTTCCTCATCTGTATAATGGGAATGGAAAACACCAACATTAAGGGGTAAGGCATAAACAAAAGGCACATGTGGCAGATCTTCATGAACCACAAGACCAGTATGATAATGATACCACATTAGTAACGACAGTCTCCTCGGTCAGTGCCACCATATGCAGCAGGAGGAGCTGGGCATTAAGACGCGGGATCCAATTTCAGCCTGGCAGTTGTTGCCTATAAGAGCTTTGACCTCAGCTGCCTCAGAAGAGGCCAGGCACTTAACATATATTATCTTACTCAATCACCACACTGAAATCTTCCAGAGTAGGTTTGATGGCCCCAAGGAATGGGGAGCAGCCCTTGCTCTTGCTAGAACGGGAACGACAAATCTCCTCCACTCGTTCCCGCGAAGTCCCGCCCCAGCCACGCCAGCTGCATTAGCATACATTTGCATGCATTTACATACAGCTTGGACTGGGATCCCAAGGTGGCGAGAGGGTTGAGACGAGAGTAACACATGGCGACAACGGCCAGCGCTCGTGGGGCCTGTGTGGTCCTACCTGGCTTCGCTCTCGGTGTTCCCGCTGCCGGGACTTAGCGGCCTTCCGAAAAGCCGCCGCCATGTCTGTACAGCCTTGGAAAAACTCAGTGGACGGCTCCGCACTCCCTCTGCCGCCGAGTCCACTGATCCTACCGGAAATAGGCCCAGCCTCTGGTGGTTTAGAACCGCCTACTTCCTCTAAGCAACCTATCCGGAGCCGATCTTCCGGAAGTACGTCATCCAGCAAAGGCAGACACCTCAGGCTCCTTCTGGGAAGTGTAGTTTCATAGATCTAGTCTTGTGACTCGACAAGAGCCCGTTCTTATTAGCTAGAGCCTGTCCACGCTGCCCAGATCTCGCCTTCGCGCTCGGCCCGCGTTGGCACCTGGGAACACGTGGCTGGCACTGCCCTGCGTCCGAGTCGGGCTTGGCGTGTGCGCATGTGCAGTCACTTACAGCTCGGCAGCGGTTGCAGTATTTAGGCGGTATGTTTAAAGCCAGAGGAGTATGCGCTTAACAGTGTTGGCGCTGGCTGGGCGCGGTGGCTGACGCCTGTAATCCCAGCACTTTGGGAGGCTGAGAGGGGCGGATCACGACGTCAGGAGTTTGAGACCATCCTGGCCAATATGGGGAAACCCCGTCTCTACCAAAAAAAATAGAAAAATTAGCCAGACGTGGTGGTGATGCACACCTGTAATCCCAAGCTACTCGGGAGGTTAAAACAGGAGAATCACTTGAACCTGGGAGGCAGAGGTTGCAGTGAGCCAACATCGTGCCATTGCACCCCAGCGGGCAATAGAGTGAGATTCTGTCTCAAAAAAGACACACCACCCCAAATATGACTGTAGGAGACCAGAACATGCCACTCCAAAATATATATTTATCTTATTTCTTTCAGCTGGTTATGCTGAGAAACTGCAGACAGAGGAGTTGCTCTGAAAAGCTGTCCTTCCTTTGTAAAATAAATTTACATCTACAACGGAAATCTACATTTTTAGTGAGGTATCTGTGTCAAGAAGAGGGCTGACAACTGTTACTTCCTGAGAGATTTTATCTCCATAACAGGACATTTCTTCCCCTCACCTTCCCATAATTTGTGTTGCCACCAGCCCCCAGAAGCCCCATGCCACTATTCTTTTTTGTAACTCAGAACACTATATAAACTTGGTTTATCTGACCCACCCATTTTTTGCTCTTCTACAACAGTGTACAGAAAAGAACATTCTATGGAGAGACAAGAGACCTTAAAACCATACCTGGCTCTGCCACTCACTTACAGGCTGTGTGACTTTTGGCTGGTTTCTTGACTTTAATGAGCATCATTTTTCTCAACTATAAAATGAGAATAATAATAACATGCACTTCTTGCTTCACATTGCTGTCAAGAGCTCACAGTTGAACTGATGAATCATATCTGTAAAGAGCATGGAAGGGAATCATTCAATGACAGTAGCTATAAAGTTCTGAGTCCCTCACATCCCCAAGGGAATGGCTGGTTGACAATATGAGGATCAGAGGCAGTACAAGGTAATGATTAGAACCGTGACCTATGAGGTATGTTCTGAGGCTACCCCAGTCAAAGTAAAGTTAGATTCACTGAGCCTCCATCTGAGTGTAAATTGAGGTACTATGATCCCCAGACAAGCAGGGCCTGGACTGAACCTCAGTAAAAAAAAAAATAAAAAATAAAAAAAATTGAGGTACTAATAATACTATACCCACAGGATTGTTTTGAGTATAAAATGAAGTCATGTGTAAAGTGCTTAATGCTGTTTTTACTCCTTAGCAAGTTCAAAATAAAATGGAGTTAGTAGGCCAGGCACAGTGGCTCACTCCTATAATCCCAGCACTTTGTGAGGCTGAGGCAGACGGATCACCTGAGGTCATGAGTTCGAGACCAGTCTGACCAACATGGAAAAACTCCATCTCTATTAAAAATACAAAATTAGCCAGGCATGGTGGCACATGCCTGTAATCTCAGCTACTCGGGAGGCCGAGGCAGGAGAATCACTTGAACCCAGGAGGGAGAGGTTGTGGTGAGCCAAGATTGTGCCATTGCATTCCAACCTGGACAACAAGAGCAAAACTCTGTCTCAAAAAATAAAATAAAGTAAAATAAAATGAAGTTACTATTGTTATTTTTATTATTACTAAAGCTGCTCTAAGTTTACAGAGAGGACTGGGCATAGTAAAGCATTCTAGAGGCATTTGGTTTCTTTTCCACCACAGGAAACAGGGTGTATAATTGCACCCATTTCTCATGGCAGCTCAGGAGCTCTGAGGAAATCCTCTCCTTAGTCCCCAGAAATGCCAGTCCAGTTGACCAGTGGGCATGAAAGAGCTGAAAGGATGAGTTTGAGCCTTGCCCATTTAAGGCCTCTTACGTTAACAAAATTTCATCTCATTTGTCACTTATCATTGGAAGACAAGACCCTTTATAACCTGACCCATCCCATGCCCACCTTTCCAGCCTTGTTTCCGTCAAGAAGACCAGCTATCAGGCACGGTGACTAGGTGGCAGCCCCAGCCACTCTTGTCTCTTCCCCTGAAGAAGGCACTGGGTGATCAGCATACCCAAGAAAAGCTAGCTCCGTACATTAGACATTGGGACCTTGGTGTCAGTCCTAGTTTTACATCTGTCACCTACTGGCTTGTGATTTGAGGCCATGATGTTATATACTCTGAGTTTGTCTCACTCTGTCAAATGGTGATGATGATAATTATTATAATAAACACCTCATCTGATTTTTGTGAGGACTGAAGGAGGTAATAACTAGCACGTGGCATGGTGCCCTTCACACAGTCAACCATTAACCACATTAGTTCTCACTCTGCCCTCCCCACCTCCTGTGCTCTGTAAAAGTCTCTTACCTATTTCACCCTCTCCACCCACAGATTCAATGTGCAGCTTGGGGTCACAAGGAAAGCTTCTGGACGGCCAGGCAGAGTGGCTCATGCATATAATCACAGAATATCGGCAGGCCGAGGCGGGCAGATCACTTGAGGTCAGGAGTTCGCAACCAGCCTGGCCAACATGGTCAAACCCCATCTCCACTGAAAATACAAAAATTGGCGGGGAATGGTGGCGCGTGCCTGTACTCCCAACTACTCAAGAGGCTGAGGCAGAAAAATAGCTTGAACCTGGGAGGTGGGCATTGCAGTGAGCTGAGATTGCTCCAGTGCACTTCAGCCTGGGCGACAGAGTGAGGCTCTATCAAAAAAAAAAGAAAGAAAAAGAAAAAGCTGGACACGGTGGCTCACACCTATAATCCCAGCAGTTTGGGAGGCTGAGGCAGGCAGACCACAAGGTTAGGAGTTCGAGATCAGCCTGGCCAACATGGTGAAACCCCATCTCTACTAAAAATACAAAAATTAGCTGGGTGTGGTGGTGCATGCCTGTAATCCCAGCTACTCTGGAGGCTGAGGCAGGAGAATCGCTTAAACCCAGGAGGCAAAGGTTGCAGTGAGCTGAGATTGCACCACTGCGCTCCAACCTGGACGACAGACCAAGACTCACTCTCAGGGAAATAAAAATAAAAATAAAAGAAGGCACCTGGGCAATTTGGAAGAGGTTATCTGCCAAGCCTTGAGGCCTGCAAGGGCTGTAGGCAGCCAGTATAAGAGTCAGCAATACACCCAGAGAAGAAAGCTTGTGATCTCACTAGGGGGAAGGAGGCCCGTGGTTACAGGCATCACAGAGTGATTCACCACCCAGAGGAAACCATGAGAGGCCTGTCAGTAGCCACCCAGAGCCTTCTTTTAAAAATCCTTGCAGGGTAAAAAAAATAGCAGGGGTATCCTAAGAAGAAGATAAAGAAGAGTATGTGGGGACCTCTGGGGTGACTGAGGGACAACAGGCTTCTACTCACCCAAGGCCAGTCGTCTAGCTCCCAGGCTCTGCTTCCCGCCCCAGTTCAGACACACCTGTTTCCCAAGGAGGGGGGAGGATAGATAGGGAACAGGAACAGGGAGTCCATGTGGCTGATCCCTGGACTTTCCTGGGGCACGTCCTCCTGGGCCAGCGAAAATAGAGTGAGCAGGGAAATGTGAGCCCGCTGGGGAGTGGAAATGGAGACGGGGAGACACAGCTTCTCTGTGGGCAGCTTGCCTCTAGGCCGGTTTCCTTAGCCCAGGTGGGCCCAAGCCAGAGAGCTAACTTTCTCTGACCCCCCAGACTCCAAGTCCAAACAGCTGAACCTTAACATTTGACCATGAAAGGGGGACTGTCCCCACATATTGACAGCCTATTATGTGCTCTCACCCAATCTTTACAACAATGCTGTGAGGCAGTCATTCACTTTTCACAGCAAGAAGACTGAGGTTTATAGAGATAAAATGACTACAGATACTAGAGCCTAACGGTGAAGCTCATTTTTGGCATAAGCGCTATGACATCTGACTGTCTAGATTTGATTTTTATTTCCCTCCCCCCCAAGATGGAGTCGTGTTCCGTCACCCAGGCTGCAGTGCAATGGTGCAATCTCGGCTCACTGCAACCTCCGCTTCCCAGGTTCAAGCGATTCTCCTGCCTCAGCCTCCCGAGTAACTGGGACTACAGGCAAGTGCCATCACACCCAGTCAATTTTTGTATTCTTAGTAAAGATGAGGTTTCGCCATGTTGGCCAGGCTGGTCTCAAACTCTTGACCTCATGATCTGCCCACCTCGGCCTGCCAAAGTGCTGGGATTACAGGTATGATCCCAGCCTGTATTACAGCCACTGTGCCCTGCCGATTTGATTTTTCTTTAACTAGAGATGGAGGGGGTCTCACTTTGTTGCCAGAGCTGGTCCTAAACTGTTGGGCTCAAGCAGTCCTCCCGCCTCAGCCTCCCAAAGTGCTGGGATTATAGGCAAGAGCTACCATGCCCAGCCAACCATCTGGATTTGAATCCTAACTTTGCCATTATTACCTGTGTCGCCTTTGCCAGGTTACTTAATCTCTGTATACCTCCATTTTCTCATCTTTAAAATGGGGATAAAAATATATATTTAGACCAGGCATGGTGCCTCATACCTATAATCCCAGCACTTTGTGGGGCTGAGGCAAGAGGATCACTTGAGCCCAGGAGTTCAAGACCAGCCTGGGCAACATAATAAGACCCCTCCTTCTACAAAAAATTAAAATTAAAATAAATTAGCTGGGTGTGGTGGCCCATGCCTGTCTGTAATCCGAGCTACTTGGGAAACTGAGGTCGGAGGATCAGTTGAGCCTAGGAGGTTAAGCTCAATTACAGTGAGCTGTAATTGCACCACTGCACTCCAGCCTGGGTGACAGAGCAACACATTGTATCAAAACAAACAAACAAAATACATATATTTAATAAAGTTCTTGAATAATAAGGTATGTTAATATATGCAAAGTGTTTAGGACCAGTGCAAAAAAAGAACTCAGGAAGTACTGGCTCTTATTATGACTAGGAGGAATTAGAGCCATGCATCAAGAACAGAGATTCCAATATTCTGCCTTTCATCGGGCCCTTCTGCACCCACTCACAAACTCCCGCTTCTGAAGGCTCCCCACCTTTGCCCTCCCATCAACCCAGAGCTGACCTCCTCTTGATACCCACTCCACCAAGACTGAGTAGTCTTCACTGCTCTGCCCTGGGCTGGGAGTTTCTTACACCTGCCAGATAATTCCCAGAGAGGCCAGGCACGGTGGCTCACACCTGTGGTCCCAGCACTTTGGGAGGTTGAGGCAGGCAGATCATGAGGTCAGGAGTTCAAGACCAGCCGAGCCAATATGGTGAAACCCCGTCTCTGCAAAAAATACAAAAAAATTAGCCAGGTGTGGTGGCATGCACCTGTAGTCCCAGCTACTTGGGAGGCTGAGGTGGAAGGACCACTTGACTCCAAGAGGTCAAAGCTACAGTGTGCCAGCCTGAGTAACAAAGTGAGACCCTGTCTCAAAACAAGGAAGAAAGTTAGGAAAAAAGGAAGGAAGGGAGGAAGGAAAAGAAATCAGTCGTCACTGCATATGCTGGTTTACAGGCTCACCCTGATCCAGCCCCCGCCAGCCGCTCCGCTCCAGCGCTCTACCACACCGCCCTTTACTCTATTGAACTTCAGCCACACTGGCTGTTTTATTGATCTACTGTGGCAAAACAAAGCATCCTGAAACCTAGTGGCTTAAAACAGCAACCGTGGATTATTCCTCACGATTCTGAGAATTGGCGGAGCTCAGCTGAGAGGTTCATCTCTGCCCCACTCTGATGTTGGTGGGAGGGATTCGTGTGGCCTCACCTGGTTTGGACCTCTGCCGGAACTGGAGCATTCTCTTTCACATGGAGGACAGCTGGACCTCTCTTTCTCTCCACCTCTTTCCCTCTGGATCCCTTTACATGTTGGCTCAGGAATCCAGGTGAGTGAAATTGGGAATTGCCAGACTTCTTAAGGTCTTAGCGTGGAGCTGAAACAGTTACTCCATCTGCATTCTACTGGTCAAAGCAAGTCACACGATGTAACCAGATTTATAGGGAGGGAAATAGTCTAAGAAGATGTGGCCATCTTGAATCTGCAGTCCCGACCCTCTTTCTGTTCCTTGCTCATGACCAGCTCAATCTTTCCTTGGGTCCCCTATACCTGCTGCCCCTTGGCATGGACTGTCTCCTCCTTGATCTCAGCTCACGTGCCATGTCTGACGAGGTGACCATTCAATGAGTAAAGTCACCAGGCACTATCATGTTACCCTTTAAATATTCTCTGCAGAGTATTACCACTCTTTGTCGGTGTGTTGAATTATTTGCTTATCACTTGTCTCTCTTCACTGGAATGAGAGCCCCATGATGGCAGGAACCTGGCTATTTTGTTCATGCTGTATCTTTAGCCCCTCCAACACCTGGTACAGAGCAGGCAGAGGCCCCCAGATAATATGTGTTGAAATAAATAAATGACAGAGGCCTCTCTACCTTTTGGAAGTGAAGAACCTGGGAATCACTCAGGTCTGAGTTCTTACTATTTGCTATGTAACCCTAACGATGTTACCTAACTTCTCTGTGCTTCAATCTCTAAAATACAGTGAAAATTAAGAGTACCTACCTCATCTTCATGGGGAGTTGTAAAGACAAGTGAAAATGATCTATATCTAACTTATCAAATGATCTGGTACTTGGTAACTCCTTATTATAATTTGTTTTTAAATTATATTTTTAATTGACACACAATCACACATATGTATAGGGTATAGTGTGAAGCTTTATGGCTATGTTCTGTAGTGATCAAATCATAAGTAGCATTTTTATCACCACAAACATCAGTTCTTTGTGGTGAAAACATTCAAATTCCTCCCTTCTAGCTTTTTAAAAAATATACAATACATTATTGTTAACTGTAGTCCCCCTACTGTGCATTAGAACACCGGAACTTATTCCTCCTGTCTACCTGTAACACTGTACCCATTGTCCAATATCTCCCATCCCTCCATCTCCCCTGCCCTCCCCAGCCTCAGGTAGCCGCTATTCTTCTCTACTTCTATAAGCTCAGCTTTTAAAAATTCCACATATGAAGGAGATCATGTGGTATTTATCTTTCTATGCCTGGCTTAATTCACTTAATGTTAATCCAAGTTGTTGCAATGCAAGGTTCCATTCTTTTTTATGGCTTAATAGTATTCCATTGTGTAAATGTACCACATTTTCCTTATCCATTCATCCGCTGATGGGCATTAGGTCACTGATGGTGAATAGTGCTGCAATAAACATGGAAGTGCAGATACCCCTTGTAATTTTGTAATTGTAATTAATTACATTATTTGAATGCAAACTTGAATTTACTCCCTCCTCACCTCCCTTCCCTGAGCTCCAAAGCCAGGAAAGAAGCCAGTAGAGAAAAATTCCATGTAATTCTAGAAGGCAAGAATCACATTTCGTTGCTCTCTTTAAAATAGTTTCAAGTGACTGCCTGCTTCAGCCACAGAGCAGGAGATGGGTCCTTATTTTGTTCNAAAAAAAAAAAAAAAAAAAAAAAAAAAATTTAAATATAAAAAAAAAAAAAAAAAAAAAAAATCCCAGAGAAAGGCCCCATCCATGGGCTGGATGCTCACTGCCTGAACTCTACAGAGCAGGTGCCTGTGATCCAAACTGAGGACGGTAGAGGGACATGCATACTGAAGCAGCGTCTGTCATCCATTCATTCATCAGATGTTTATGATGTGCCGAACCCTGGGTTAAGTACTGAGAAGGCAGTGGTGAACAAAAAGGAGCCCTGCCTTCATGGCTCTTACCATTTAGGCAGCAACAGCAATAATAAACAAGCAATTATTTAATTTTGAAAGGAAACCAGGCCTGGAAGGTGACTTGGGAACCAGGAATCCAGGCATGACACAGAAACGGGAGGGAATGGTTCTCAGGAGCCCCAGCCTGGGAGTGTGTTAGTGTCTCCTTGAGAGCTCAGCTGCACCCAGCCTGGGGTGTGGGGAGGTCTCTGCAGGCGCCTGAATCTTCACTCTAGATGCTAAGGTTATTCCAGGGTTGGTTTGCTGTCTCTCGTTTCCCCGAACAGCACAGTAGAGCCTCCTGCCACCCTCCTTCCCCACCCTTCCAGACCGAGGCTATTTATTCCTAGTGACAAGCCTGAGGATCCCAGGGGGGGTGGCCTCGAGGACCTGGAGGGGCCTCGTGTCCCTAGCAGGCGCCAGTCCTCCCTCACAGACACAAGGAGGAAGCCAGAAGCTCAGACACAGCAGAGATTCCCCCCACCCTCCTCCACCACCCCTGCGGCGCTCCATCTTCTCACACTCTTCACACCCCTCCCTAGAAGCCCAAAGATCATGGGGCCACGGATTAGGGTCTCCCCCGAGCCTCAAAGGTCAAAACTATTCCTGGGCACTGCGGAAACCCAAGCAAGGCAAGACTTCTCAGTGTCAGGAGGCCGCTGGAGGTGGGGAGGTGGTTACCCCTATTTTTGCCACTCAAAGTTGTGGAATAAAACCCTTTGAAGGTCAAGGCCCTATGGTAGGAAGAGGTCCTCTCTTTGCCCCATGTTTTCAGAGAACACCTTGGTGCCCGCTGACAGGCTCAAGACAGCAGAGTCAAAACCTCCTCCTCCAGCCTGGATTAAAGCCGGGCTGAGTGTCACCCCTAGGGGTAAGGTGGGGCGGGGGACGGGGGGAGATCCGAGGAGGCCAGAAGCCTCTTCCCCAGTGGACTGTGGTCTGTGGGGTCCGGTGCCGCCGGCCTGAGATGGAATACAGCAGTCTCCCTCTGGCAGCTGGGGATGGGGGTGGGAGGGGAGGACGCAGCGGCTGCGGGGAGGGGACAGGGGCGGGGTCCCGGCTGCCCGAAGGTTGGGAGAGCCAGGTTAGGCCGGGCGGGAGGAGGGGGCCGGGCCGGCAGGCGGCCGGGCGTGAGGTGGGGGCGGGGTCTGGCCCCCGCGGCGGGCAGGGGGGCCGGGGGCGGGGTCCGGGCGGGGCTGGCCGGCGCTCACTTCCTCGGGGAGGGGTTGGGGCCGCGCTCCCACTCGCCCACACTGTCCGTCTGCAGTCGGCAGCCTCGCCGGCAGCTCGCTCGGCCCCCGCTCGGCCCGGCCCGCAGGCAGGAGCCGCCGAGGGACGCGGCGCCCGGTTCCCGGCCCCGCCCGCCCGCCCGCTTCGAGGTAAGCGCCCCGCCGACCCCGGCTCCCAGCCCCGGCCGTCCTCCCCCTTTGCTCGGGCCGGGGAGCGAGCGGACCCGCGGAGGGCTGAGGCCAGCCGCGGCCCCAGCCCCTGTCCCCGCCGGGCTCTGGCCGCTGGCGCCCGGGACACGCCGAGCCGGGGAGAGCGCCCGCCCGGACTGGACCCCTCCGGGCTGCCCGGCGGGGCGGGGGCGGGGGCGGCAGCGAGAGTTGGGCGGGGGAGGGGGGTTAAGTTTGAAATAGAAAAGCCAGAGAGAGACAGACAGACAGACCGAGCAGGAGCGCTGGAGAAACTGAGGTTCTCGGAAAGCCTGGTGGAGCGAGAGACCGAGACAGGCAGGGACTCGAGGCACAGGAGGCTACCGAGATCATTGAAACAAGGACACACTGGGCGTACGGAGTTACCGGTGGACAGACCCGAGGCATGGGGGCCGTCCCAGGCTTTGTGGAGGATTTTCAGAAAAAGCTTACGTAGAACCCCAGCGAACACATTGCTAGGGCCCTTCTCTGGGCCTTGGAGGTGCCCTGCGGCGTGGGTGTCAGTGGCATCGTGCTGAGTCTGCTCTCTGAGGCCTGCAGAGACACCGAGAGACTAGAGACAGAGACATTGAGGTATGCAGAGATGGCAAAAGAGACCTGGATGCAGAGACAGAAAAAGGGAGGTGGTAGGCATTGAGACATTCAGCCGTGTAGACAAGAGGAGACCAAGACTTGAGATCCACAGAGGCATGGGCCCCTGGGGGGAACAGCCAGTCAAGATATAGGGCCGTCCAAAACCTAAAGACAGCCGCTGAAGTGTGCCCAGACTGAGATGCTGAGTGGAGCAGAGACAGAGACTTAGTGGAGGCAGAGAGACCTAGGTGGGCTGACAGCTTCCAAGACAGCCCCTGACATACCCAGGCCTGAACCATTGGGGAAAGAGAAACTCTGAGCCCACTGATCCCCCAGGAGGCAGAGGCCCTGAGACAGTAAGTTCGAGATCAAGAAGAGCCCCGTGCACACACACAGCCACCAAGATAGCCCCAACTTATTTTTAAACTCAAATCTTGGACGGGCTGCCTCAGCCCTGGGGGACCGTGGTGAATGAACTGTTCTATTCCTCTCCTGTCCCCAGAGCAGCTGCGGGATCCTGCTCCCCAACCCCCTTCCCTAAACTTCTCTGACTTTCAGGCCCCATGGGGGAGAGCAGAGCTTGGGGTTGGTGCCTGGTTGCAAAGGGTGAGGGTTGGGGGAGTTAAATTTCTCCGTTCAAGTCTCCTGTCGGCTTCTAGAAGGTGGGGGAGGGGTCTGTTCTGATCCTGACTCACAGCTGTGGGACCTGGCCAGGGTCCTCCTTGGACAGTGGGTGTGTTGGGGGTGGGGGACAGAAGGGTTGAATGGTTGGCATGGGTCATTGGAAAGGCTTCTGGGTGCCTTCCAATCACAGGACTAGCTCTGCTGCATCTCCTGTCACCCTGCCCTTAAAAGCTGACCATCTCCTTCATCACCAGGGCAGCATTTTTACGGAGAGAGCAGAGCTCTGGGCTGGGAGGCAGGGGATCTGGGTCCCGATACGTGAGTGATCTTGGGCATGACCCTGCTCTGTTCCTGCCCTCCTTGTGGTCAATTGTAAAATGGGGATGATACTCCGTCCTTCCTGCCTTTTGTGAGATCTGATGAGATGGGATAGGCATGGACTTTGCGAGTGGCAAAGCAGCATGCAAGTGTCTAACACCCGTGGACCTGTGTGAGAGATCTCAGAGTCATGCTTACTAGAGTCAGGCTGACCAGGATGGAGTGACCAGGACACTGGCCCCACTGGTGTCTTCCGCAAGCCCCATGGGCCTGGGACCTCCTGTTCTCTCCCTGGGCCTACACTGAGAATGTCCAGGTCAAATTTCAGAACAGGCTGGGCACAGTGGCTCATGCCTGTAACCCCAGCACTTCGGGAGGCTGAAGCTGGAGGATCACTTGAGGCCAGGAGTTAAAAGACCAGCCTGGGCAACATAGTGAGACACTCATCTCTACAAAAAACAGAAAAACCTAGCTGAGCATGGTGGCACATGGCTGTAGTCCCAATTACTCAGGAGGCTGAGGCAGGTGGCTTGCTTGAACCCAGAAGTAACTTTTTTGTTTTTTGAGACAGAATTTTGCTCTTGTCGACCAGGCTGGAGTGCGATGACACAATCTCGCCTCACTGCAACTTACGCCTCCAGGGTTCAAGCAATTCTCCTGCCTCAGCCTCCCGAGTAGCTGTGATTACAGGCACCCACCACCATGCCCTGTTAATTTTTGTCTTTTTAGTAGAGATGGGGTTTCACCATGTTGACCAGCTGGTCTTGAACTCCTGACCTCAGGTGATCCACCCACTTTGGCCTCCCAAAGTGCTGGGATTATAGGTGTGAGCCACCTCACCTGGCCGAGCTCAGAAGTTTGAGGCTTCCATGAGCCATGATTGTGCCACTGCACTCCAGCTCTGGCAACAGAGTGAGACTCCAACTCAAAAAAAAAAAAAAAGGCCAAGCCAGGCTGGCCAATATGGCAAAACTCTGTCTCTACTAAAAATATAAAAATTAGCTGGGCATGGTGGTGTGCTCCTGTAATCCTAGCTACTCCGGAGGCTGAGGCAGGAGAATCGCTGGAACCCTGGAGGCGGAGACTGAAGTGAGCCAAGATTGCGTTACTGCACTCCAGCCTGGGTGACAGAGTGAGAACCCTGTCTCAAAAAAAATTCTGGGCTGGGCATGGTGACTCACGCCTGTAATTCCAGCACTTTAGCCAAGGGAAGCTAGGGCAAGAGGATAGCCCAGAAGTTTGAGACCAGTCTGGGCAACATATTGAGACCCCATCTCTATTTAAAAATTCCAGTCCTGGCCAGGCGCGGTGGCTCACACCTGTAATCCCACCACTTTGGAAGGCCGAGGTGAGCAGACCACAAGGTCAAGAGATTGAGACTATCCTGGCTAATATAGTAAAAAACCCGTCTCAACTAAAAATGCAAAAATTAGCTGCATCTGTTGGTGCATGCCTATAGTCCCAGCTACTTGGGAGGCTGAGGCAGGAGAATCGCTTGAACCCGGAAGGCGGAGGTTGCAGTGAGCTGAGATCAAGCCACTGCACTCCAGCCTGGGCAACAGAGCAAGGATCTGTCTCAAAAAAAAAAAAAAAAAAAAAAAAAAAAAAATTCCAGTTCAGCTACCATTTTCTGAGTATTTATTATCTGCCAGGTGCTTTACAATTATCATCACATTTAAGCCTGACAACAACCTTAGGAGGTAGGAAGTAGTAGTATCTCATGTAATTAGATGGGAAAGCAAGCCCAAGGTCACCCAGTTAGTAAGCGTAGGAGCTGGGATTCAAACCTTGCAGCTTGAGCCGCTCCACACACCACAGCCAGTTACGCAGTCATTCTGAGCTCCAGAAGGTTCCCTGGGAGGTACCTTGTCGGGGGAGATTGTTGGGGGTGCAGGGATTGAGAGCCATCTGTAGAGGAGCAGTCTCCCCGAAGCCCTGCCCCACTGCCGGCCAGGAAGGAATACAAGGCTGGCTCCCTTCAGTCCCCTCAGTCCCCAGCCTTGCCAGGGAAGAGGGCAGGGAGAGGGGTATGGGCAGAGACAGGTGGGCCTTAATGGTGCCCTTCACTCTGTCCTCATCAGAGCCCGGCTGGATAGACTAGGGCATTGGGGATTCTGGGAAGGAAATAGAAGCCATGCCCATACCCTATTTGGGTTGCCCTGGTCTCGGAGTGCTGACTGTCTCTCAGGGGGTGGACCCAGGGCTAGCCTAGGCCTGAGATGGTGGCGGCAGCAGTGGGCCAAGCCAAGAAGGAAGGAAGAGGCCCAGGCACCCCCTGTGGACGCATTCCACCTGTGTGGCCCCCTGCTGCCCTGTGGCTGACAGCCCAGGCAATCCTCAGATGTTGGGCCAGAGGAAACCTGGATCTCAGGGCAGGAAGGGGACTGAGAAGGAGGAGTATCTTCTCTACCCTGCACCATAGCCCCCACCCCAGGACCCCCAGCTCTAAAGACCCTGGCTCCTGGTGGCCTCATGCCCTGGCCTGGGGTGTGAGCTTACTGTTTTCCCATTGCACAGAGGCTTGATGTATGGAGAGTCAGGCCTCCAAGCTAGGGGCATCTGCTGTCTGAACTTCAAGCCAGAGCAGCACTTGTCAAGAATGTTGAGCTGGGGGTGGATGAGAAAAGGAGGACTTTTCCTTCAGCTTGAGCCAGGGCAGGCCCTGATGACTGCCAGTCACCGGGGCCTTGTGGGAGAGTGGGTTGGTGAATTCCTTTGTATGTCCCTGTAACTTCCTGGGGCTTATCCACAGCTGTGAGAACATCCCCATCCTATGGGTCCTGGCGGGTCCTCTCCATACCCCAGGATCCCAGCCCTTAGAGAGCAGGCTTCATGATGGAGGAGAGCAGGGGTGGAAGCTCTGACTTTGGGGCTAGAGAGTGGAATCGGGGGTAATAGAAAGGTCTGGGAACCCCACTTCCCTACCGCTCCACTCCCTGGGCTCCTGTTCCAGAGGCAGCTGTGTGGATGACCTCATCCTGCAAACATGCTTTGTTCCTGAGAAAATGGAAAGTGTCTGAGGTTTGGTGGGGGGCTGGGTGTCTCCAGCAGCAGCTCTCAGGGCTCCCCCTTGTCCTACCCCCCCACCCAAGATGGGGCCTGACTGGGGAGAAAATGTCTTCACTGGCTCTTGTTCTCTCTCCTTTCAGCTCCCTAGTCCCAAATCCTGAGAAATCAGAAAAGGTGGGAGAGACTGTCTCTCCCAGAGGCAGTGGGAGGGAAATCATGACCCCAGGGGATAGAAAGATCCTGGGGTTTTGCCAGCTGCTAGCAAGAGGTGGCAGGGACACACCGCACTCTCAGTCTGTCTCCAGTTCCCCTCTGCCTCCCGCGACACCTCATCTTCCCTTTTTCTCCCCATCGCTGGCAGAACCTGACATCTGGCCATCTGTGCCGCCACAGCTGCTGCAGATGTTTGAGGCCAAGGCTGTCCAAGCTGGTGTGACCAGAGCCACAGTGGGGGTGGGAGGATGAGGGCAGAGGGCCTAGCTGGGGAAGCTGTGTCCAGCTTGCAGGATTTCCTTCCTGCTTGAGCCTAAGCTGAGCCTCTGAGGTTCCCCTTGCTTGGCTGCTTCTCTGGGAGGGAAGGCCCAGCCTCTCACACTGGCATCCTCCACCATTCATCAGTCCATCATCTCTCTAGCATTCCACTGTTTTCTGGACCAGGAGGGGCCGAGAACAGCCCATTCCCATCTCTCAGTTCTGCACTCCAGAGCTCTGGATAAGGGTTCCTTTATCCATATTCCTAAGGTCCCTTCCTGGGAGTCAGGAGAGGGTGGGAGTACTGCTCATACGGAGTAGAGTGGGGTGGCCCCCTGCTCCTGCTTCTCCCACACTGGGGACAGCCGGGACAGTGGAGGCTAAACGCTGGCTGGGGCAGGAAATGAGTCACTGACCCAGGAAAAGCCCCCTCCCCCTAGATCTCCCAAGGCCTAGATAAGAAAACAACTTCTGCTTCCTGGTTTTTTCCTGACCTCTTCCTACCCCCAGTTAAATACAGAAAGAAATATGCAGAACTCCTGGTTTCCCAGAAGCACCCTTTACCCATCCCCACCTACTCTGAACCGGCATTTCCTATGCCAGGTCTCTTGCTGTGTTTTGAATGCAGAGGCCTCTTTGCCAGGAGCCAAGTCACAGCCCCTCTGCGTGACCCCAGTTCTACCTTGTGCCCCCCACAGGGTTCTCTCCCCTTGCCACCATGAGTGAGTCATTTGACTGTGCAAAATGCAGCGAGTCCCTCTATGGACGCAAGTACATCCAGACAGACAGCGGCCCCTACTGTGTGCCCTGCTATGACAACACCTTTGCCAACACCTGTGCTGAGTGCCAGCAGCTTATCGGGCATGACTCGAGGGTAAGGAGAGGACCGGGCTGGGCAGGAAGTGGGTGGTGACCGGAGGAAGGGGGCAAAGGATGGATCCACCAGGCCTGGGTGCCAGTGTCCCTGCTGTGTTCCCCACAGGAGCTGTTCTATGAAGACCGCCACTTCCACGAGGGCTGCTTCCGCTGCTGCCGATGCCAGCGCTCACTAGCCGATGAACCCTTCACCTGCCAGGACAGCGAGCTGCTCTGCAATGACTGCTACTGCAGTGCGTTTTCCTCGCAGTGCTCCGCCTGTGGGGAAACTGTCATGCCTGGTATGTCCCCAAGGGGCTCATCTTGTGTGAGAACTGGCATGCCTGGCATCTGCATAGGGTCTTGGCATGTCTGTCTCATACATGGAGACTTGGTCTATGTAAAGACCTGCATACACACCGCGTTTCTGGAAATTTAATGTATGCAGGATCTGTTTGCCTGGTCTCTTGGGGGCTCCCTATATGCCGGCAGATTGACGCATTTGATACATACTTGGAGGCTTAGCATGTGTGAATATCTGCATGTTTGGTACATGTAGCTGCTAGAGGCGTGCTGAGACTGTCTTGCTCAGTGCATTGGGTCTTAGCGTATGCAGAGAGGGCTTAACTTGTGGGGACCTGCATGCCTAACAGAAATGTTGGGATTCAGCACATACAGAGAATGGTGTGCCGAGGAGATGCGAGGGCTTAGCACGTACTGAACCTGTCATGCCCATGGCATTAGGACTTTGTGCGGGCAGATACTTATTTGCCTGGCACATGTGGGGTCCCGTGTGAGTGCTGAAACCATCACATCTGTTGTGATGGTTTCATCACATCTATATGAGGGCTTAGCACATAGTGAGACTTCATGACTGTTACATGGAGGCTTGCTGTGTACTGAAATAGTCATATCTGGGACATATAGGAGCTAACATATGCCAAAATCCTCATGTCTAGCACGTGCTGAGTCATCATGTCTGGTGTCTGGAGAGAGGTTAGCATGCGTAATGTACATGGGGGGGTCTTGCTGCATGTACATGGACATCACCCTGCTCAGGCTGTGAGAGCAGTGGAGACTCCGGGGAAGTAACAGAGCGTGGGACACAGCCTCTGAGTGGAACCCCTGTTCCCCACAGGTTCCCGGAAGCTGGAGTACGGAGGCCAGACGTGGCATGAGCACTGCTTCCTGTGCAGTGGCTGCGAGCAGCCGCTGGGCTCCCGTTCTTTTGTGCCGGACAAGGGCGCTCACTACTGCGTGCCCTGCTATGAGAACAAGTTTGCTCCTCGCTGCGCCCGCTGCAGCAAGGTGGGGGCTGGGCCAGCCAGGTGGGGGTGAGTAAGGCCCGTTGTGGGGTGGGAATCGCCACTCATACCTACTAATGGATGCTGCCCCCACAGACGCTGACACAGGGTGGAGTGACATACCGTGATCAGCCCTGGCATCGGGAATGTCTGGTCTGTACTGGGTGCCAGACGCCCCTGGCAGGGCAGCAGTTCACCTCCCGGGATGAAGATCCCTACTGTGTGGCCTGTTTTGGAGAACTCTTTGCACCTAAGTGCAGCAGCTGCAAGCACCCCATCGTAGGTGGGACAAGGGTCAAAGAACGGAGCGGGCAGGGTGCAGGCAAGGGAGTGGGATGTGGTATTGGGCGAGGTTGAGGGCCAGACATCCCCAGATCTGCAGAGCTAACTTCCGGCCTCCCTCCAGGACTCGGTGGAGGCAAGTATGTGTCCTTTGAAGACCGACACTGGCACCACAACTGCTTCTCCTGCGCCCGCTGCTCTACCTCCCTGGTGGGCCAAGGCTTCGTGCCGGATGGAGACCAAGTGCTCTGCCAGGGCTGCAGCCAGGCAGGGCCCTGAGCCAGGGCTCCTGCGCCCAGGCTTTCCAGTACCACTGCCCCAGGACTGTGGCTCCTCTTCTAAACCACCTCTGGGACCCAGCCCCTCCCCAACATGGGTCTCTCTCTGGGCTCCGGGATTGTCTCCCCACTCCAGCATCCCCAAACTGGTGCTCCCTGAGCCAGGCCCCCAAACCTGGGCTCTTATGGAGCCTCTGTGAGTCAAGCCCCTCCCCACACCTGGACTCCAGAGCTCAGCCCTCTGCCATGCAATGTGGGTTCCCAGACTGAGTCCTCATCCCAAATCAGGGCTCTAAACTCCAGCCCTCCAAACCTGGACTCTGGGACCTAGGCCCCCTTAAACCTAGACTTCTCTTTATAGATTTTATGTCTCCTATGGGTGCCTGAGAAGTCCTCAAAAGTGACTGTTCCCAGGCTCGACCCACCCCACCCCATCCCCGGGGCTAAGGCTGGCTGTGGGGGGCAGCAGATCAGGGGCCCACTAGTTAGGGGGCCCTAGGGGACAGGGTGCTGCCCGGCCTGTGTCCACCGAGCGTCCCCTCATTTTATTTCAGCTCCATTTTGCCCAGAGATGGGCAGAGGGGTGAGACTGGCTCACCCCCCTTCTAGATTCTGCAATAAAGCTGCGTGAGGAAGCAGGGCCTCTGTGTGTGTGTTCAGGGTATAGAGGGGAAGGAAGGGTTTTTGCAGACTGGGAGGCTCAGAATCTCTTCTAGACCTCGTCCTTGCAGGGCGGAGGGAGGGGGGCCGGGCCACTGGTGGGAAGTCTCTCCCCAGGAAGGGGATCCCCGCCACAGCTACTGTCCCTCTGGAGCTGGGCCTGCCTCCCTGCTGGCAGAGGGCTTTTTCCTCCATGTAGGGAAGGGAGGGGTTTGGGGGAGGTTCCAGACGAAAGCCAGGGTGGCGGTGGGGTTCCTTAATTGGCTGGTGCAAATCGTCCCCTCCGCCAGCAGTCCTGCCCAAAGCCCGCAGAGCCAGGACCCGGTTCCGATCCCCAGTCTGAGCCCAGACCCTCTCAGTCCCCTTCCCCCTCTTCCCAAGGATTAGCGGGGGAGGCCCGGGATCCGCTCGCGCCGCACGTTTTTTGCCAAAAAAGGAAAGGATGCAGCTGCACATGCCGCGGGAACATCTGGATCCGATTCCCGGCATGAATGGGTCACGCCCCGTCCCCCGTCTCACCCCCGCCCCCCCCATTAATTCAAGTCCAGGGTGGAGGCGGGAATGAGCGAGGGGGGCTGTCCCCCAAAGTGGGGAGATGGGCGGGGCGACACTCCTTACTCCTGGCGTTCGACGCCCGGGTCCCTGACCCTGGCAGCCAGGCTCTGGGCTCCGGGTCCGACTGTCGACTGTTGGGGCAAGTACGCACACACACAGTGGTGCCTGCAGCCGCCTGCGGTGGGGCCCGGCCTTGGGCGGGGAGTGGCCCCTCCGGCCTGGCGGAAACCGCGAGATTGTATGTATCTCATATTAAATCCTCCACGAAGTCCTGTGGGCGGGTATTATTACTGCCATTACGCAAAAGTAAGAGATGCCCACAGTCAGTTGCCCCAAGTCACATAGGCAGTCACTGGTGGATCCAGGGTTCTAATCCGCTTTCTGAAGCCGTCGTTGATTTTTTCT